CCCCCCCCGCCCCCCGTCAGGAGGCACCCTGGCCAGGCCGCCTCGCACGCCCGAGCCTCCTCACCCCTCCCACCCCGGCTCCCCCGCCCTTGCGGCCGGCTCGGTTGCTAGGGCTGCGGGGCCTGGAGACGCGGCGCGCACGTCGCGAGCTGAGCTGGAGAAGCCCCGGGCCCGGCGACCGCAGCGGCTCCGCCCCCCTCCGGGCGCTCCGGGCCGCCCTGCTCCCGCCGTATCGCGGCGGGATCTCCGGGCCGCACGGGGCTGGCAGGCCGGGGCCATGGCCAGAGCCCCGCAGTCCCGGCGACGCCCCGCGGCGCCCGGCAGCGCCCTGCGCGCCTTGCTGCGCTGCAACCTGCCCCCCGGCGCCCAGCGCGTGGTGGTCTTCGCCGTGCTGGCGCTCCTGGTCCTCATCAACGTCGTGCTGATATTCCTGCTGGCCTTCCGCTGACCGCCCGGGCAGGGTGCCGCGGGGGATCGCGCAGGGGTGAGTGGCGCCGCGCCGCGGAGCATCTTCCTTTTCAGCCGCGTCCTCCTCAGTGCCCGCAGTGGCCGGAGGTGCGCCGGCTGACCCCGCCTGGCCCTGGTCCCCCCCCCACCTCCTCTGCCAGCTCCATGTGCCACGGCCCGGTGTGTGCGTGCGTCCCCCGGGTGGTGCGGCCCTGCAGGTGACTCTGGGGCCTGGTGACCCTTGTGCCACGGGGTTCTTCTGCCTGTCCTTTGTGCCGTGCGCGTGTGCGTGTACCTAAAATGGCGCGTCTCTACATGTAACTGAGGATGCGGATGCAGCTGTGGACACGGCTGTCTGTGGTTGTCTGGAAAGTGTACGTGTGACTGCCGTGTGCGCGGAACTGGACATGCGTTTCTGTGTGGGTTGAAAAATGGGGAGATGAGTGGGCTCCTGTGCACGTGTCATCTGCCGTTGCTTTATCCAGGTTAGTGGTCTCGGCCAGCGTGCCGCTACTACGGGTAGAGCCCTGCCTGCATCCCTGGAACGTGGGCGCACTGAACACCCCCTCTCCCCTGCTGGGCCGCGGCCTGGAGGAGCTGAGCCATATTCCTTCCCAGACTGTCTGATTGGAATCCTCCACCGGCCTGCATGTGTGAGAGAGAGGAGGAGATAGGACAGGGTGGGCATGTGTGAGAGAGAGGAGGAGATAGGACAGGGTGGGAAGGGTGGTGAGTGGTCATCAAGAGCAGTTTTGAGGTAAAGCCTGGCTTCCTCCAGCCTGTCAAAGTCTCCAGGGCACAAGACTGGATCCTGCCCCCTCCCTCTCCCGACCTGCCCCCGGTAAACAGCCCATGTCTCAGAGCCAGCTTCTGCTCCCCACTGCCAGGCCAAGAATGAACCTGCAACCCTTGCCCCTCAGCCTACTGGACTCAAATCTGGGTTTCTGTGCAGCCGTACCTCAGACAGAGAGCTTCAGGAAGGGCCTCTGCCCAGAAACCCATCTAGTGTGGGCCCTGATGGCCTCTGGACTATCCTGGAGGTAGAATGCATGTCTGACCTCTTGGAGCTATATTTTATCTTGGTGACAGAGTGCCGCCCTTTTGTGGATCTATAGAGGAGCTTTGTGGCCCAGGGAGAGCACATGGTTACTGTGGGCATCAGTGAGGGAGACCAGGGGATTTGCTGAAGACTGTGAGTCTGTCAGGCTAACTCCTGTGCACAGCAAGGTACTAGGACAAGAAAGTGACAAATGTGACCAACCCCACCACCACCACCACCACCAAGGGCTTCTGGATAACTGGACAAGGCAGGTATTGGGGCTTGTCCATAAAGGTCAGGAACCATGGTCTCTCTGGGAAGCCTTACCTGTTTGTCCCATACCTGGAGCCCTTCCCCCCATAGCTATACAGGAAACCACTCTGTAGGATGTGCACCTCTCTGCAAGGGCTGGCAGAATAAAGCAGAAGGGGGAGTCATTGGGCCTTACAAGAGGGGCTTTTGCTCAGGGCTCACTTGAGAAAACCTGGAGTTAGGAGGAGGCACCTGGCCTGGTTAATATTAGTAGGAAACAACCTGGGAGGAGAAATGGTGGGAAGCTGGGCTGTGTGGGTATGTCTGCATTGCTTCCTCCCTGCCTGGGCTCCAGCAGTGAAGGCAGCATCCATGCTGTCCTAGAGACCTGCATGTGTATGTAGCTGGTGTGAACTGAGGGTGGAGAGCATATACCTGCAATATGGCATACTGTTCTCCAGAGATCAAAGTGTAGCATCCTGTTAGTGAGTATGTAAATGTGTGTTGGCAGGTGCATGTCAGGGTGTGTGCAGGAAGAGGGGGGTCTCGGAACACCCGCCTCTTAAGGATCAAAACTACCCAAATAGCCTATAGTCACATATTCCCTCCATCGTGATGCACACATTTGCCTGATGTCATACACACCCTCTGTCTTTATGCCCACACTCATCCATCGTCACACACACCTTCGGTCCTGATGCACATGCTTACCTGTGATCACTGTCCCTGAAAGAGGACATTCACCTGCAGCCCACATTCTCATTGGCTCACCCACACCACCCTTGAGTACTCTGTTTCTTCCTCGTCTTCAGGCAAGATTTTTCAAGGCCAGGAGTGGTAGCCTGCTTGTGTGGAGTGTGCCAGCTATGGGCTGCCCAGTCTAGTGCCTGCTCCCTAGGTACAGCAGGCTGGCTCCTTTCATGATGCCTTGCTGAGTCCTCTGGTCTCATCTTGTCATATTGCAGCCAGGAGGTCTTGATCCTGGGGGCCAGGCCTTCTTGCAGAAGAGGACATACCTGTAGTATGTCTTTTTAGCTGGGATGATTGCAATGGTCCCTTGAGGAGGCATGCAACCCCCCAGAAATAACCCAGTGCTTGGTGCCTGTGGTCTCTGGTGGGCCTTGGGCATCTGCAGCCCCTGAATGGCTGTTGCGTGAGAGTAAATGTGCATATAATCATTCTGAGGAATGATTTCATCAGGGTTTGGAGTAGGTTCCATTCCCAGAATACATAAACTGAAGGTTTCTGAATGTGCTTGCTCAGGCCCTACCCTAGGGAAGGTTCCAGCCTGAGTGGGCTCTGGTACCAGGTGGCCTGCCCTACCCTTCACTCTGCCCATTCAGGGTTTGGGGGAAACATTTTAGCTACTGGAACTCTTAGGTGAAGACCCAGCTAGTCTTGCTGCAGCCCTGCTCTGGTTCCCATTTCAATCTGAAGAACACACACTGCCCTGGGAGCACTGAGGAAAGGTCCCATTGGACCTGAAGCCAAGGGAGGATTCACACTCATGAATGGGGGCAGAGGCAAGCAGCTCAGAGGAGGAAAGAGTTGGCGCAGACGGCCTGACTGGTGATGCTCTGCGGTAGTGACTGCTTAACCAAAGAGCCAGCCCATGGCTGTGATAGAACCAACACTTGGTCCCAGCAGAAAGGGGCATAGATCTCACCTCTTGTATAGCCCCCTGTCTACCCTTCCTCTTGTCCTAAGCACTCAGAGCCATTCATTATTCATGGAGCAGAAACTGAGCCCATGTTACAGGAAAGCAGGTGTCAGCCCAACAGGAAATGGAGCTCTGAGCACAAGGGCTGCCTGGGGGCTTGGGGGGGGGGGGGGGGGGGGGGGGGGGGGGGGCGGCGCGGAATTCCATCTCCTCCTGATGTGAGGTCCATGATAGGAGCATCGCTCCTGATGTGAGGTCCATGGCCATGTTGGAGTAAGGAAACACACCAAGTTATTTCAGCAGAGAGAAATTAATATAAAGAATTATGAGCCAGTTTTAAAGTACTTGACTCCATAACCCAAGTGCACAAGAACAATCCTGAGGTATCTGTTACAGAGGTAGCAGCTGCAAGGTGAACCTACCTCTCCTACAGCTAGGGAATATAGGAAAGAGGTTGGAGTAATTAAAGCTGAGGATCCTGTAGGGCTTGAGACCTAGAAGTCTAAGGATAGGTGCTGCTCAGCTAGTGCTGGTGGATGTGGCAGGGGAGGGCCAAGAGACCGGTTCTGCCAGTGTTGGAAAAACACTGCAAACCAGATCCAGCTACCGTGATGGCTGGGAACCGCTGTCCCTGGGAGGAGTGGTGCTGTTGCTTGCCAGGTGACCTCACAGGTAATGCAAGTCCACAAGAAGCCAGCAGGAGGGAGCAAGCCCTTCTCCCTCCAGCCTTGTGGTACCCTCCAACACCACATTTGGAGAACCTAACAGGGAGCAGCTGGCACAGAAGAAATGTAGCTTGCTGTGCCCAGCCCCAGCATCACAGAGCAGAGCAGAGATGGTAAATGAAGCTGAGAACAATAATTTAATCACTAGTCCAATGGGGATGGGAGGAAGGTGTGCCCTGTGCAGGAGAGTGAGCAACATGCTTGCTTCTCAGATTCTGTGGCTCACCAGTATTCTAGTGGTCAAGTTCACTTCAGGCTTCATCATGAACCCTGCCAGTCCAGACATGCCCAGGGCATAGTCCTGTTCCCTGAAGAATGGCTGGCTCAGGAGGAGCCTCCGTTCACTCCTTTGTAACATGAGTCAGGATCCCCTCTTCTCAGGGCTGCTGAGGGGTGGGGGGGGGGCAGAAAACAGGAACACCCTGCCCCATGAGGAGGTCCCTGGCAGCTTTACCCCACTGATCTGCCTATCTGTGGCTCTCTTTACAGCTCATCAGTGATGGCAGTGTGGTCTGTGCTGAAGCACTCTGGGACCATGTCACCATGGATGACCAGGAACTGGGCTTCAAAGCTGGGGATGTCATCGAAGTAATGGATGCCACCAACAGAGAGTGGTGGTGGGGTCGTGTTGCTGATGGCGAGGGGTGGTTTCCAGCCAGCTTCGTGCGGGTATGGCACCAGCCTATGCTTTCTCTGGGTCCATAAGGAGCCAACTGGCTCTGCTCAGAAGTGCAGACCTGAAACTGCTCTGGGGTTAGAGGTGCTGGGCATGGACCCCCACCTACCTATGTCTGTGCTGGGACTGCAAGACTGCGGGCTGGAGATGGGAGGTGTGGGGACGGGGATGTGAAGAAGGCCAGCCACAGAATTGTGACACAACCTTCCTCCACCTGCAGACCATCACAAACTCCTGCCTGCCCCACCCCTCCCACCAGGGTGCCCTTGGTGTGCAGAAAGGAATGGGTCAGGAACGATGGTGTGTGGATTCCTCCAGGGGGAATCTGCATGTTAGAATGCCACCACCACAAACAACTCGGTGTATCAAGCATTTACTAAACACTTCAGAAAAGTTGGATAGGCATCTCAAACTTCCGCAACGCTCTGGGAGCTGGGAACAGCCACTTATACCTGAGAAAATTGAGGCTTGGACAAGTTAAGTCGTTAGCACAAAAGATCACAGGGAGGAGACCCAGAACCTACCTATGGTGGCCTTTGGTGTCCAAGGAAGGAACCCGGGTACCCTCAAAGGCCATGCAGAAGGCAGTGGGGAGTAGAGTTCTCAGACCTTGGGTTTCATTGCTTCCCCTGCCCCAGACCTCATGGATAAACGGCCCATTGTCCACCCCAAGCCTGTCCTAGTTCCAGGTCACAGAGCCAGAAAGGCCCCAATCACCCATTCACTTCTGTCACAGGCCCTAGAGGGGCTGGTGTGAGCAGGCACTGGTTTGGAAACCCCCTAAGAGTGAGCATCCACTCTGCTCCCAGCACGGAGTCCAGCACCAGCGCGGGAGGGGGAGGGGGACAGAAGGCGACAGAGAGGGAGAGGGACAGAAGCTGGCGCCTCTGGAGGGGCTGGCGAGCCTCCGGTGTTGGGGGCAGGGGGCTGCCATGCCTATCTTCCTCCCAGCCTCAGTTCACCACTGCCCCCGCGTGCGGGCCACCGGGGCTGACCCTCCGGGCACTGACTGGCCACGTGTTGCCTGCAGCTACGGGTGAACCAGGACGAGCCCGCTGACGATGACACATTGCGGGCCGGGGACGGCGGGGCCGAGGATGGAAGTGCCGAGGCACAGAGCAGCAAGGACCAGATGCGGACCAACGTCATCAACGAGATCCTCAGCACTGAGCGGGACTACATCAAGCATCTGCGGGACATCTGCGAGGTGAGGCCTGGCAGGAGGTGCGGAGGGTGGCGTGGGGGGACCAGAGAGAGACCTGACGGGCCATGGGCTGCAGGGCTACATCAGGCAGTGTCGCAAGCGTGCTGACATGTTCAGTGAGGAACAGCTGCGCACCATCTTTGGGAACATCGAGGACATCTACCGGTGCCAGAAGGCGTTCGTGAAGGCGCTAGAGCAGAGGTTCAACAGGGAGCGCCCCCACCTGAGCGAGCTGGGCGCCTGCTTCCTGGAGCACGTGAGCACGCCCTGCCCCAGCAACCTCTCTGCCCAGGGCCCATTCTCCAGGCCTCCCAGCCAGGCAGTCCCCCTCTGCCCTTCTTTGCTGGTGGTCCCCACTCCCCTGCACACACACACCCTGGCCCCCGAGCATGTAAGCCACCCTTTGCCCTTGGCTCCCATTCCTGCCTCCTCGCAGACAGAAGTGGGCCCTGCAGGCTAAAAGCCCAGGCAACTTGCTCTTCTCTTCCCAGAAGCTTCCAGGCCCCACTCCCCTAGTACCCAACCGCCTTCACCCTCCAGCGCTGTTTCAGCAATGTCTCTGCTTCTTTGGGAGGCAGACCAAGTCAGAGAAGGCTCCTTGGAGCAGGGGGCCTTAGGCATCAGCAGAAAAGGTTTTCTTGGGCTACAGGAAGTAGAAGGCAAAGCTGGGCGGGGCCACCTGCTGAGCATCCTCAGAGCTGTCATAGCAGATTCTGGGCTTCCTCACACAGTAAGAAAACTGGAATTTGTGTAATGTGTAGCACTTACTTCCACTCTAAATGCCAGTTGGATTGGTGATTTAATTGGATTTAATTGGATGGTGTGGGCTAGATGGACTCCTGGCCTTGCCTGGTAAGGAAGCACTTGTTTCTGTCTGTCTCCTGTGGCATTTATGTGGGGTTGAGCAGAGGATGCCAAGGCCAGCCCATCAAGGACAATATGGGTTCCTTCCTGGCTACTACCAGTGTATGTGGTGGTGGGGGTTGAGGGGGCTGTTGGAAGGGCCCTATTACCTGGCTCCAGTGGCAGGAGAACTGGAAGGGGAGACCTTAGATTCCCTGAGCAGGAATGGGTAGTGGGGTCAGAGCAGCTGAGTGAGTGTGGGATTTGGAGCCAGTTATGCAGCAGACAGAGTTGTGATGGGGGCTGGAAGGGAGGGATAGGCACTTTATCGACATCACCCAGTGTGACCATCACAGCAACTGGCCAGTGAGCTTACTGCTGTTACCCTCCTTTCCCACCTAAGTCCATGAAGTCCTAGTCACTAAAGACCCAGTCTTTCTCTGGGTCAGGTAGATAGAACAACAACAACAAAAAAAAAAAATGAAAAAAAAAAAAGGCACAGTGAGTCTCATGTGCCTCATGTGTGTGTGTGTCTCAAGACACACACAAGGGGCACCTGGGTGGCTCAGTTGGTTAAACATCTGACTCTTGATTTCAGCTCAGGTCATGATCTCGTGGTTCGTGGGATTGAGCCTGGTGTCAGGTTCTGCCCTGGCAGCGTGGAGCCTGCTTGGGATCTCTCTCCCTCTCTTTCTCTCTGCCCCTCCCCTGCTCATGCTCTGTCTCTCTCTCTCTCAAAATAAATAAACATGAAAAAAAATTTTTTTAAACAATACACACACAATGTGGACGTATCTGTCACATGGTGAATGGATAAAGTGGCACTGGCTGCCCAGATATGAAGCCAGAGCTTTGTGAGGAAGAAGTGACACACCAGGGGGCACAGCCATAGACCCTGGAAGCCATTTAATCTCCCTTAATCTCCTTCTGTCTCTCTCTTCCTCTCAATCCTTCTCTCTGTCCTTCTCCCTCCCTCTCTCTCTCCTTGTCTCTGTCCCTCCCTCTCTCTCTCTTCTCCCTCTCTCTCTTCTCCCTCTCTCTCCTTCTTTATCTCCTCTCTTCTCTCCCCTTCACTCTCCTTTCTCTCCCTTCTTCCCCCCAATCCTCTCTCCTCTCTATCCTTCTCTCTCTCTCTTCTTCCCCCCACTCCACTTTCCCCTTCTGTCTCTCCTTTCTTTCTCTTCTCTCCCTTCTTTCCCCTGTCCTCTCCCTCCTTCTCTCTCTCCTTTCTCTCTCTCTTTCTAGTTTTTGGCCTTGGTAGTGCTTCCTTATTAACATCATTGATTTCACCCAAAAAAAACCTGACATACAGTCAAAATATCTGCTGAGAAATCTGGGTGGTGACAGGACACACACATGCCTGAGTTTTCAGGTGTCTAATACCCCTGTGTCTAATTCCACATAGCTTGTGCCCAGTGACATGGGTAGAGAGAGCCTGGGCCCTCTGAGCCCAGCTCCTGAGGGAAATACAGAGGCCCCTGCTCCCTCTCCTATGCTGTGCCCGAGTTGCCTGGGTGGCCTGAGGGAGCAGGAGGTCACCATCCTGACCTCCAGCTGTGCCCCCAGCAAGCAGACTTCCAGATCTACTCGGAGTACTGCAACAACCACCCCAATGCCTGTGTGGAGCTCTCCAGGCTTACCAAGCTCAGCAAGTATGTGTACTTCTTTGAGGCCTGCCGGTTACTGCAGAAGATGATAGATATCTCCCTGGACGGCTTTCTGCTGACACCGGTACAGAAGATCTGCAAGTACCCTCTGCAGCTGGCTGAGCTGCTCAAGTACACACCCCCCCAGCACAGGTAGGAGGCTGCTGGAGAGGGAGGGCAGTCTGAGGCTCTTCATGCCTTGGGTCAGCCAGAGTGTTGAGTTCTGTTATGAGTGTTTACTCATAGTAAAATAGTCCCTGCTGTCACATGCTGTCATTACAATGAAAGAAGAGGACAAAAATAGGATGTTAAGTTCTGTGGTGCCCAGACGCACCGTCTGGCATTGACAAGTGAAAACTGCCAAGGGCATAGCCCCAGAGGGAGGCAGCTCCACAGCCCCTCTCTGCCCTCCCTAGTACAACCTTCTTCCATGTCTGTTATGCCCCAGGGACTTCAAGGATGTGGAGGCAGCCTTACATGCCATGAAGAATGTGGCCCAGCTCATCAACGAACGGAAACGGAGGCTTGAAAACATTGACAAGATTGCTCAGTGGCAGAGCTCCATAGAGGATTGGGAGGTGAGGGCCCCACAGCTCGGAAAATACCGTGGGGCATGGCTCCTTGCTTTAAAATCACGCTTGCCTTTGAAAAATCTAGGAAGGAGCTGAAGTGGGAGTCATGCTCTGGGAGCTCGCAGTAGGAGAGCTGGTCCTCTGCCCAGGCCAACCCACTGGAGCATGCAGCTGCAGGCCTGGTGGCCTCTTTCCTGGTCAAGAGTGCCCAGCATGTGTGACATAGGATGCTGCTCCCAGTGCAGTCAGCTGACCCAGCAGGAGGAGCTAGTCCTCAGCCCTCAAGGGACAGGCCAGATCCCCAAGTGGCAGTAACTACTGGGACTCCCAACAGAAGGGTTCAGGCCTGCCACAGCATGACCGAAAACGGATTGCCATGGGTTTTCATTCCATTCCTGATTCCATTCTTCAGGCTTGCACATGACCCTTATATCCACCAGTCTTGCCTTCTGAAGCCACCCAGAGACCTGAATGGGGACATTCCTGTCCTTTAGAGGCCTTCCCGTCCTGCTCTCTCCACCCCCACCCACCAGCCATAAAATGTTATGAAAATACAGATTCCTGGACCCCACCCTAGAAACACAGAATTAGAATCCCTGGTGGCAGGGCTGAGCAGTGTAGTCTTTGGGGTTTTTTTGTTTGCTTGTTTTCTTTTCCTGGTGACTGGTTCTGAGGCCTAGCCCTGGCTAAGGACCCCTACAAACTCACTTATCCCAAACTGAATGGCTGCCAAGAACTGGCTATGGTTTGCATTTTCTAAGGAGGAACCAGAGTGAGGCTTGGCTTAGCCTGAAAGTTTGAGGTCTGATGATGGAGCTTCAGGTACTAACTACATTTAGCTAAGAAAACTTCATAAGCCCCTAAAGACAAGGCTCACAGGTGACTTGAGCCAGGTCTAATTATTCTTGAGCATAGCACTGTCTAATCGAAGTATCATGGGAGCCACATGGGTCATTTTAGATGTTCTAATAGCTATCTGGAAACAGAAAAAAAGCAGGTAAAATTAATTTTAATAATGTTTTATTTAAGTCAGCATATCCAAAGTGTTTCAACGTGTAAGCAACAAAATCATTAGTGAAATATTTCACATTCTTTATACTAAGTCTTCAAAATTGGTGTTTACTTACATGACATCACAATAGGGATCAGCCACATTTCAAGTGTGCACATGACTGGCCGTCACTGGCCCCATTTTGCAGAGACAACTAACTTGTAGGTTAAACCACCTTTTTACTCCTTAACACCCCACTGTGCCCACCACTGCCTTGGGCTTCAAGAGCAACCCCTCCCTCTGTGGCCTGCTGCTCACTGCAGACCCTAGCCCAGTGGGGGCCACAGGCAGACCAGGCCAGTGGGGAGCCTGCCCAACTCATGACAGAGGCAGGGGGCAGTGCCCAGTGGAGGGGGCTTCCCAGTTTGGGTACACTCAGCTCATAGTGTTCCTTGGGGTCCACCAGGGGGAAGATCTCCTGGTCAGGAGTTCGGAACTCATCTACTCGGGGGAGCTGACCCGTGTTACACAACCACAAGCCAAGAGCCAGCAGAGGATGTTTTTCCTCTTTGACCACCAGCTCATCTACTGCAAGAAGGTACCAGAGCTGCTGTGCCCTGCTGGACACAGAGCGGGAGTGGAGGGGGTGAAGCTGGGGGCTGGGAGTAGCTGCCAGAGAAAAGGAGCCACACACGTCCTGAGGACGTTCAGTACAGCAGGCCCTTCCCTGTTCAGGCCCATAGGGCCAGGATGAGGATCGTTGTTTGTGAAGGAAGCCAAGTAGCCCGAGGACCATGGGGTGGCCCTCACAGTCTGACCAGGGTCCAGTGCTGTTGAGAACACCCTCCTTCATGACCTAGCCTCTGCTTGCTTCTAAAGCCACCTCAGCTCCCCCTGAGCCCTGGCATCCTCTGCTCCTGTTGCCTCTTCTTTGCCGTTAGCTTCTGCTCCTCTCAGCACATGGCCCAAGTGGCCCTGTTCAGGAAGCCCTCCCGGTCAACTGATACTGGGCCCGGCCCGGTAGGCCTGGTACTCTTCTGTTGTGCAGTATGGGCCCTGACCCACTGTCTCCATGGCTGCCTCTCTGTGAGGCAGTGGGTGCCCTCCAGGCTAGTCAGTAATTTCACTGAAGGCACGAGGCTCCTCCAGCATGGGTTCAGCACACAGCTGTGGGCCACACCACACTCTGCCCTTGTGAGCTTACCACCTGCTGGGAAAGTGGGTGTGCAGCCCGCTGGCCCTTCTGACTGCAGGGCAGGGGGTGAGGCATAAATAGGTCAGGAGAGTGGTTCAGAGGCCTGAGAGGTAAGGACTTGAAAAGCAGGATATAGAGCAGGAGCTCACAGAGTCTCTGGTAGGACCTTCTCCGCCGGGATGTGCTGTACTATAAGGGCCGAGTGGACATGGATGGCCTGGAGGTGGTGGACCTGGAGGACGGGAAAGATCGAGACCTCCACGTGAGTGTCAAGAATGCTTTCCGTCTGCTCTGCGGCACCACGGGAGAGAGTCACCTGCTGTGTGCCAGGAAGCCTGAGCAAAAACAACGCTGGCTCAAGGCCTTCGCCAGGGAGAGGGAGCAGGTGCGGCTGGACCAGGAGACAGGTGCGAGACCCCACTCAGCCTTGATCCACTGTGAGGGCCCACCCAGCCCTCCTCACCCCTGAATGCAAGGTCAGGACAACCTTGAGACTGCGAGGTAGCCATGTGCCACAACCCAGGGCAGCTCTTCATTTCAGCCCCAAGGCATGGCATGGTCTGTTGGCCTGTCCAGGTTTTTCTACCACACACACTCCATAAGGTGGGGGCCTTCTCAGTTGCAGAGACCTGATGAGGCCCCTTTCCAGCACAAAGCATTCAAGTAGGATTTGGGCATGGGCTTTGAGAAACCTCACCCACCCCAACATAAGCAAGATACCTCCCTGCTGCATTCCTTTTCTCTCCATGGGCCCCTGGACATCACACTCAGAATGACCAGATTGGCTCTTGGTCTGGGAAAGAGCCTCCACCATAGTGGAAAGGACACTAGATGCTGAATAATACATCAAGGACTGGGTCTGGGTGAGAGATGGGGTAGGGCAAGGATGTAGGGAGGGCCCACTGAGCATCTCCTCTGCCTGGTTGGCCAAGGCAGGCTGGCTGAGCAGGATACTGAGCATCTGCAGCATGATGGGACACCAGACCCTGTGAGAGATGCAGGATACACCAGGTGCCAAGAGGCACAGGACAAGAGCAACACTGGCTGGGGAGGGGGAGGAGGTGGAAGTCAAGTCCTCAAAATAAGAAGAGGTCAAGCAGAGGTCTCATTTGGGGTCCTCCCTCCCAGGCTTTTCCATCACCGAGCTGCAGAGGAAGCAGGCCATGCTGAATGCCAGCAAGCAGCAGGCCACCGGGAAGCCCAAAGGTAAGTGGATGGTACCCTACCTCCTCCCACAGCAGCCTGGCCCTACTACCTGATCAAGATCAAACTCCTCTCTGACCCCCAGAACAAAGCCAGCTAGCATGTAGGTCCCATCTGCTGCCCACTGCCCTTTCCAGGTGTTTGTTCCCAAAGATTGGTGGTAAGGGGCCACTGGTGACAAAGCTTTAATCAGTGTGCAGTTGATAATTTTGCTCTCAATCCCCTCACATCCCCCAGAGCAGTAGCATTAATGACAGCACACCTCCCCAGGCAGGACTGCTTTCTGGCAGGCCTCCGTACAACCTCCTGGCAAGGAGCCCATATCCCCATTCCAACAGAGCTGATAAATGCCTGGCACGGGGCCTGTGCCATGGAGAAGCTCCAGGGCCCCACACCGTCCCAGGTTTCCTGGCCATCCCCTCTACAGTGGCTCAGGCCACTGGATGTGGTCAGCCCCATGAAGGAACTTCCCTCCCATGGGATGGGACCCATTCGGCCTCCCCCCCCCCCCAACCATGGCAGCAGAGGCTGCCATTCTGCCATGTGACACCTGGCTCCCTAGGCACCTATGATCCCTGCTTTCTTTTCCTGCTCAGCCCTCAGCCGGCCCTACTACCTGGCACGCCAGAAGCACCCGGCACTGCCGGCCAGCCTGCCCCAGCAACAGGTCTTGGTACTGGCAGAGCCCAAGCGGAAGCCATCCACCTTCTGGCACAGCATTAGCCGGCTGGCACCGTTCCGCAAGTGAGCCAGCCCCCACCTGACAGCACCATATGGACCTGTCCCTCCAGTGGGCCTCCAGCTTTTTCTCCCTGAGGCCCATAGCATGTGGCCTCCTCTGCCTGTCATGTGCACTGGAAGTTACAGGCTGAGGGAGGGAACTGCTCGGTGCCCCATTCTTCGTTTCTTCCCCACCACTGGTGCACTGAAGACACCAGCTGGAGGGGCAGGGGCCCACAGCGGTGAGCCTTCCGCCATCCTCTGGACCTCTATGGGGCCTCCTGGGAGCCACAGCTCAGAGCCACCGGCCAGGTCAACACGCGTGAGAGGACTGGCCACTCTGGACCCTCTTCTCTGGACATCTTATTATCCCTCCTCCTGCTGTCTCTGGGCAGACTGCCTTCAGCCCCTGCAAAGTTGGGCTGTGTGCCCCTCTGTCCTCCTTCAGGCCCCTGGTCCCCAGCTGGTGGTGCCAGGCAACTTGCATCCCTGGATGGTGGGAACCGGAATTCTGTGCACAAAAATGTCGGGCCCAGAGCCCACCTCTTTTGCCTCCCAGTCCCTCTCTAGACACTCCTGGCTGCTGGACACCCTCTTCACTTGTGATGTGTTTATAGTGGAAAGAAAACAAAACCATAGTCACTGCATACTTCTGTCAGGGTTTGTGACCAGTCCACGTGTAGTTGTGGGTTGACTCCAGAACCTGCTCCCAGTTTGTCTGGATTGTTCTGTTTTTCTAACATTGGGGAAAAGTAATTGTTATTAGTGACACAGAAAGATTGCCTTACCCTAAGTGAGTGTGAGAAGCCATAAGGACTGAATTCTGTAGCCCAGCATCCAGGACTGACCCACTAACCCAGAGTCCAGTGAGCATGTGAGTTAAGAGGGAAGCCTATGTCCTGCCGAGAAGGGTCACAAGTACAGCCAGAACCTGGCTTGTGGGTGCAGGAACACTGAGCTGCCCCTCTGGCCTAAGGGAATTCAGCAGCATGTACAGTCAGTCACTCTTGCACTATACCTTCTCCAAGCCAGAAGCCACATTTAATTTCATAAAGAAACATGAAAAAATAACCTGTCGGCCCTGGTTTTTCCATTTGTGTCTATGCATTTTCTCCTTTGCATGCTCCATCCTTCCTATGACAGTTACCTTTCTCTGCCCTGGGCCTCTCCTTAAACAGAAAGGATGAGCCCAGCATCGCCCAGTGTGGTGGGAGCTCCCTTACTTGCAAACCATACCCTCAGAGCTTTGGTGGAAAGAAGCGAAGGTGGCGGGAGAAATGCTTCAGATGCTCAGAAGGAGCTGCGAGGACAGCATGTGGTCTGGGAGCTGTCCTGGTATGGGATACAGCTGGCTCGGCTCCTCCAACCACAGGGGGCTGGAAGCCTGTTGGCTCCCTGACTGCTCCCAGAGTCCATGTTTAGCTGAAGTTAGCAAATGTGAATTTGGGGGATTGGCAGTCTGCAATCTTTCTGGGTTTTAGCATCCTCTTCAATGAAATAGAGAAGAATGTGTCCTCCAGGATGGGGACCAGGACACAAGACCAAGAGAAAAGGAACAGGGTCAGCTTTCCTCCCCTTTCCCCTGAGGAAGCAGTCTTCCCAAACTGTTGCCTCCACACACCCTTACACACCGTGCTGTCACAACACCACACAAGGTCACCACAGCCCAGCACAAGGCCTTCTGCCCCCAAACCCTGCATGTCCTAACTAGAAAGAAGCTACACCACCTTCCAGCCAGGCCATGCCACCTCAAAATAAACCCTACAGGAAAAAAAAAAAAAACATAAAAATCACACTATGCAACACAAGTCAATCTTTATTGAAAACTGCAGTATTAATACATAACAAGTCTTGTTACAATAAACGTGCTTTTAAGAATTTTAAATCTGAGCTCTACTCATCAGATTGCATAAAAAATTAAAATAGTATGAATTTACACTTCATGGAACTGGCTCAGGATGGATGTTCCATTCCTTTGTATTGATTGACACCGTAAGTTCAATGCAGAGGTGAGGGATACCTTTAACAATGGAAGACAATGCCGACATAAGCTTAAAAAAAGTACCAAGAAAACGGTCTAAAAAAAGTATTTAAAAATCATTAAACAAACAAAAAAAGGAACCATTTCCTAGTCAGTCATAACCCACGTGGTTCCTTGGGACCTCTCCTCAGAGCAGCCATCACGTTAAACCCTGCCAGGAGCACAGCAGAGCCCATCTATTTTACTGACCACTAGTCTACACAAGGACCCATGGGAGACTGACAGGGCTCAGGAGGCCCAAATGAGACACCTGTCATCTCCAACACAACAGCCCTGGGAGCACACATTTCCTGAAGCCCACTGCAGGTTCCCTGAACAGATGCCTGCCTCTCCTCTGTCTCCCTGTCCCAAGTGAGTAAACTTTAAGGTTACCCCTAGGGTTTTCTGTTCTTCAAATGAATGTGGGGGGGGGGGGCAAATCCTCTAAAACACGTAAGATCAACTTTGCAACTTTCTACCCAAAATGATCAGACCCTCCTCTGCAGCGCGTCATCTGCAAGTCTGTTCAAAATAGTCTGACGCACCTTCAGAGAGCTCAGGCTGAATAATAAACAGCTCAGGGGAAAAACACAAATATTTGAGATATGCTAGAAACAGCTAAGAAGTCTGCCCTTCCCCTGAGCCAACCACACTCCTCTCTAGAGAACCCCCCCACCCTTAAAAAGCACCAGAAAGAACCAGAAGCTGCCCCTCACCCTCCAAGCACTTGCCCTTAAAACTGCCCGTGAGCCTGCTGAGGGGTCAGACAGGCATCCTGTCCTGACTGGGCAACACCCAGGTTGGCGACGACTAGGGTATCCAGCCATTAGCTGCCAGGTGGGGAGAAGGTGGCCCAACCAGTCAGAGTAATACTGTTTCAAATGTGTACAGGAACAGGTGAAGAAGGGTGGATTTCCTTTTGAAGTAGGCCCCAATATTGATGTGGTTGGTGTGTGCCACCCTTTCACCACCAACTGGCAGGCACACTCACAGAAACTCACATGCCAGATATCAGCATATCCAAAATGCCGTAAGAATATATTTCCTCTTATTACAGAAGCGATGGTGCCACCAGATGGAGCAAGGCACTGTACGCCGAGAGTGGGAAGGGTAGGATGCTCACCAACAAGTACCCAGCCCAAGTCTCAAGACCTCTCTCATGTCCTATAAATACATTTGCATAGCACTCAAGAAACAGATTCACAGAACAGCAACTGGTAGGCCTCATTAACCATACCAACAAGAATGTTCTGACAAGATTTAACACAGAAGACATAAAAGGTTCTGGAAGCGCCTTGCCTTCATGCCTCCCACGAATGGCCCTGGTCCTGATGTTGGCCTCACTTCTCAGAGGCAGCGGGTTGATGGGAACATTGCTCATCACTAAACACTAAAGTCACCAGGCCCAGATCCAAACAAAACTTCCATAAGCAGAGAAACAGGCCTCCTGAACCTTGGCAGAGAGGCTGTAGAAGATTTTTTTAATTATCCATGATGATGACGTTCATGTTTAGAGGAATTAGGTCCTTGCCTACCTGTCTCCACTTCCAAAAGAACCATAATTCAGCTGAAAGAGTATCAAATTAGGAATGTCACATACAAAAAAAAGGCCGTTTCTCTGTTCCACAATTATGCTTGGGATATCAAATTATGCAATTTTATAACAAGTTCTATTCCTTAATTATTTTTACTGGAACTGCTGTTAAAATTACAATCTATGATAGTTTTGCTACTATTCATATGTCCAGATTCTTACCTACTAGATAAGATCTACCTTTCATTATATTTGGTAGCTGATGCCCTGATGTGAAAAGATTTCCACACAGATGTATTCCATTATGCAAAGGTATTTGATAAAGTCTCCCAACTCACCTTCACAAAAGGGAAAAAAGATTTTAAAAAATTATAGGGGGTAAAGTGTTTATGAGCTGATGTAAATGGGAGCAAAATGCAACCCAACCTTCTTGCTCTTGAAAACACTATTTAATTCAGTGCTTGTGAAAACACTCACCCTGTGTGCACCATGTCTCAAGCAAGCCCAATGAAGCATCCGATATAACTTCTACATTTGAGTGACTCCACCCTTACACATAGGATGTGTGTGTGTGTGTGTGTATGTGTGTTTTCCCATTTTGATGTTTAGGGCTTTTTTAAAGCATACACTAAAATCATATTTTCTCCTAATCTATTACACTAAACTAGGAAAATGGACTTTTCTGTTACTTGATCAGTTCAGCCCTGGAACCCTTGGAACCTCATGGATATTATAAACCATCCACCGTACAGATGGAATAACCAGCACAGAGCTAAAGTAGACACAAACTGTGTGCCTGGGGTACATGGTACACACACACACACACCCACACACACACA